TATCTAGTTCTTTCCATTATATAATTTGTTTATGTTTACTTGATCATAAGCAGCTGTTATATCCACAAGTGTATCAATTTTTTGATGGAAATTCGAATTTTTACTGTTAGGTATGATAAACATTCTAGGCATCCCTTTCCTTTCCTGAAACCAATTTGTAATTCCGGCAATTCCTTTTTATTTTCCAATTTCCATTCGAATCTGCTTTTCATAATTGTTTCAAGTATTTTCCCAGGGCAAGAGGTTAATGCTAAGGGTCTGAAGTTTTTTACAACTGCACTGTCTTTGTTGTCCTTCAACAATGGGAAAATGTAGATTTTTTTCCATTGCATTGGTTTCTTATTCTCTTTGAGGATATTATTGAATATTCTAAATAGATTTTGTTTTCCTAAAAATGTTAAATATTGGATCATGGAGTATGTTATGTTGTCCAGTCCAGGGGCCGAATCTTTTTTCCTTTGCAAAACATTTTCCAGTTCTGCCAGAGTTATTTCTTCTTCCAATTGGAAATTTTCATGTCTTCTGTCCATTGTGAAATCTGGGTCTATGTTCACCTGGTTCAAGTTTTTAATTATGTCTATTGCTATTTCCCGCTCAGGATCCTTATTCTTAAAACAAGGGAGCAACGTTCCCAGGAGAACGGGTGTTCCATCTTTCTCAATGATATGCAAATGATAACATAAGTAACAAAGACGGAACACTTATTCTCCTAGAAACGCTGCTCCCCTGTTTCAGGAATAAGGACTCTGGAGCTTTATTTCTTGATTTAATTTTCCCTTTTGAGAATATTCTTATTGTTGTCCAAATTTTCTGTAATGGTGTATTTCTTTTTATATTTCCACAATATTCCTTGAAGCAGTTCTGCAGTTCTTTCTCTTCTCATTGAATTTCCTTCTTGTCTGAGCATTGACCCTCTTTACATGGATAAAAGTTTCCATTGAATATTCATATTTGAGTTTATTCATAGCTGTTTTCCTTTTATTTAAAAACTCCTGACATTCTTCATCCCACCATGGGACCAGATCTTTATACTTTCTTTGTTCAGCTTTTTTTTCGGTATTGTTTTTCCAGCATCTTCTAGTATATTTTCTTCCAGATCAGAATATGATTGTGGAATGTTTCCCAGAAATCTAGGTAACAGTTCGTCATGATATCTTTCTCAATTTGCCTTTTTTGTATTTCTTCTAGATTTGCTTCTTTGTATTGAGTCAATCTCGGTATGTCTCAAGGAAATTATTATTGGATAATGGTCACTGTTTCCACAGTCTTCTAATATTTTCCATTCCATTACTGTGGCCATAGAGCTGGATACCAGAGAAATATCTGAAGCTGATTTATTTTGGCCCGGTATTGTCAGTCTAGTTGGGGATCCATCATTCAGTAAAACTAGAGAAGTTTCATTTAGAATATTATTTATGATGTTTCCATTGAAGTTTGCCACTGAACTTCCCCATAGGGGATGTTGGCCGTTGAAATCTAGTATTAATTTTGGTTCAGGTACTTATATTATCTGTAAGATCCTTGATCTAGTTGTCTCTGATTTTTGTTGATGGTGGGATATAGAAATTGAGAATTAAGTAAAAGGTTTGACTTCATGATTTTTATTACCTGCACTTGAAGGTTTTCTGGAAAATCATAATTTGACAGATCATACTCCTTATATTCTATGGGATCCTTTATCAAACATGCAATAGCTAATGTCTGCCCAGCGACTCTGTGTCTACGGGGCAACGGTAAGGGGAATGCAGTTGTAAAAAAAAATGGCTGATTTCATTCATAAAATACCCAGCTGCGTGCGGAACTTTTTGGAAGTATAATATTGTATTGCAACTCGTACACGAAAATTGACGATGACCAAATCCCCGCCACTGGATATTTCAATTTAAATCGATATTCCAAGATGGGAGGATACAATGACAGGAGCCCTGGCCAATAGCGAGACGTAAGGTGACGTTATCCCACTGAAAACCGCATGGTGCCCCGTGGCAACGGCGATTCTGCCAAAAACTCTACCAATCAGGTTCATCCAGGCTGAATGTTTGCCAAATTGACAAAATCGGATGGTATCTTTGGAAAATGTTCATTTTTTATATTAGACAAAATTGAAGAAATCAGTTATTAAAATAAAAATAGATCTAACAACCACGTTAGAATCTTTAGCGTTTCATTATTGTTATCTATATTTTGTTATTAAAAAATGGATTTTCACATGAACTATACTTCATGCTTAATATTTTTGCTTTTTTATAATTAAACGTGGCAACATCGCACATTTACGTCCGAATTCCTTCCGTAAACTCAGAACCGCTGGGCAGACAATACCTCCCTTACCATCTTGTCTACAAATTTTGTATTGTCCAATCCTTAAATTGTAATTTTTTATTCATTCAAAGTTATAATTTCAGGTTTTTGTTCTTGTATTAAAATTTTCAAGTTGTCTATGTTTGAATTGATTGATCTTATATTCCATGGTAGAATTTTCATTACTCTAGCTGCTGTGTTATTCATGGGTTTTTTAATTTGTTGTATTTTTCTGGTTTTCACCATTCATCCTGTTCCATTGGATTTCCCATATGGATATCTTCAGTTAAATCTTTTATGAAGTTATTTGTTAAGTTCAAATCTGTGAATGACATGTTTTCAATCTTTGCTATTAATCTCTTCCTGATATCGTCATCCCCTAATGGTTTCCGGGATGAATCTTCGTGGTATTCCTGTGTGTCTGGTAATTTTTTGTTTTAGAAAATGGGTAATTCAAAAATTTACCAGATTTTGGTTGATGTAAGAAATTAGTTATTTGAGCTCTAAAAATATTTTTTTCCTATCGTCGAAACCATAAATATAGGTACCTAATAGATTCCATATCAGCTAACGGTTTTGGTATAGAAATATCTTTCCATGCAAAGTTAATGGCCAATGATAGAATTTGTTTTATGTCTAGAGGAAGATTAATATTACAGATTCTTTATCCAGTTATCTTGAACTTTAATATTGTTACGAAAATGTCGGCCAGAACTCTTGTGTAGGTACGTTGGGCAGCGCGCGTTTTCTAGGAATTCCATTATATTGGACTTGTACAACCACACCAAACCAATAAATACCTTGTTAGAGAAACTTTGGTAAACTCACAAGGATTATACCAGTCCGAATAGCCAACCTCCGCCACAACACTATTCAAATCAAGAGAGGCGTTGTCATACCAACTACGAACCTGTCGAAGGAATTTCAAAGTGTGAAGCTGAAGAACATCGAGGAAGGAAAGGAAATAAATCAGCCAGCGACACATTCTAAGACAATTCGAAACATCTTGGCAGCATCTTTTCTCTATCTATATAACTAAAGAAAACTCAACAGTTCTTTTGTGAAAACAAGGATATTTTTGAGGAAAAAAATGGCGAAACATCAAGCATGAAATCAATACACTGCCTCATCCAATCCGTCAACCACATAGATGACTTCGCATGACCAAACAACAAAGAAGTGGATTAGTAGAAAATATATACAGTTTTGCTGGCAGAGGGATTTGTTGAAGAGTAAGTAATTGTACTAGTAACAAAGAAATATGGATCTACCAGATTTTGCGTAGATTACAGAAACTTTAACAATGTCACTAGGAAACACAGCTGCCCATTATCGAGAATTGACGATACCCTTACGACATTGCCAGACTTAAATTGCTTTTCTAGTCTAGTCTAGTCTAGACAGCGTTCTCCACTGGAAGGGGTTTTCACCAATTCAATGTGATGCCTCTTGGACTCTTTAAAACCCCCGCTACTTTTGAGAGGTTGCTGGAAATCGTACTACTAGGACTTATGTGGCAAGTATGCCTTGGCTAACAAGGATGATGTGTTAGTGATGAGAAAAACTTTCGATGAGCACCTATGAAACCTACAAGAAGTATTTAACTCCTTTCGCCTCGACCATGAGGCAAACATGAACTCAGAAGTTTCCTTGAGCTTTGTACACTACAGACGATTTGTAGAAGGATTTGCTGAAGGTAGCAGCGCCGTTGCATAAACACTGGAGAAAAAGCTATTTTTGATTGGATCACTGACTGTGACGTAGATTGTTGGAGGCTGAAGGCAGCTTTTTGTTCCAGTCCTATATTAGGCCACCCACGGGTACATGGAAAATTTATTTTGGATACAAACGTGAGCAACACAGGTATCGGAGCTGTCCTGTCGCGAATACAAGATACTGAAAGGGTCATTGAATACTACAGTAGAGATCTTACCAAGCCCGAGAGAAAGTACTGCGTTACAAGAAAGGAACTATTAGCAATAGTCAGAGCGGTTGACCATTTTTACAAATGGCCAACAATTTCTCATTAGAGCAGACCGTGTATCGCTTAATTGACTTCTAAACATGAAACAACCAGAAGGACAGGTAGCAAGATGGCTGAAGAAGTTACAGCACCACAATGTTCAAGTTAAACATCGTTCTCATCTAAATAATAAAAATATAAATTATTAATTCCATTATCATAGATAGATATTTACAAAAAGTTTCGATACGAAACAAATAAATGACGTACATATTTTCATTTGTAGTTTAGCTTTAGATTATTAACCATAAATAGGAAAAGGCAACATATTATTTATCAACAACTCCCACATTGCGTCAGAGCTTTTATAACTTTTGTAAATAATACAATTTTTTCATTTCATTTTCGCTTCAATAAGATACCATATCATTATTTGCATAATATCTAAACAAACATACAAGGTTTAACAACTACAAGGATGTAGCTACCGTAACGATAGTAATTAAATTTGCTTAAAGTTTACACAAAGTATTTTCACTATTGATTGGTCATCAGTAACAAACAGTTCATGCAAACGAAAGAGATGCGGATATCAGTAAAATCGAAATATATTTGCATATACAATTTCGATTTGGGTTAATCCGTCCTGTACAAGTACGCAACTCGTAATGCGTTTCCTGATTATTTTTATCCCCGGAGCAACCTGTAGCCCATAATGCGACGCATCAGTTGCCGTCGCGACATGAAGCGTCCGCGTCCAGACGCCGAAGACGCCGGCTGACATGTGGAACTGTTTCACTCGTACCTTTAGCGTCCTGTGTCCCAACAAGACTACCAGAAGACGAAAACGTAAGAAAATAGTTTACTATAAATGTTTCCCATATTAATCTGAAACTGTAATTTAACCCTGTGAAGCATGGATTCCTTTTGTGAGGTTTTTTTTCCCAAAGTAGGCAAACTATTAATTATATAGGACATAATGCCTAGTTAGAAATGCATTCATTTACGTTTTCCTCCTTCGCCGATTTTCTGCTGAACGGAAATTATTATAATTTGATTTCCTAATAGGTCTGTTCTCGTAGAAATCACAAACTAGTCAGAGCGTTTTTGATTGGTGTAAATCGCCAACAACCAGTTTCCTGACTACATATTTTGTGATTTCTGTGAGAACTGACCTGATGACCTAGCTTGTCTTAAATTTCTTGTATTGGCCATTTCAATTCGTTATAGTCTTCTGTTTTGTTTCGCCGATATTTATATTTTTACCAACTAACTAGTGATCAACTGTATTAGCTCTTCAAAATTATTGGAAGTGAGTGCGATGTCGTCTATTTTCTCGAATATACACTGTGGTTATTTAAGTGTGCAACATATGGGATTTTTTTTAGTAATATATCAAAATATAAACAAGGCCAAAAGTTGGTGCATGTCTGATAATCATATTAGGTGCACTTAGAATGGTTGCAAGTCAAACAACATACAGGGTAGCTGAAAAAATATCAAAATTGTAATGATATTTACTTAAATAAAATAAAACGTTTGCACTTTAAGGAGAGTTTTTTCAATATGCATATTATCATTAGTAATGTTTTAACTTGGTAAAAAAAAAAATTGCGGCATTTTAAAGTTGTGGTGAATATCCTTGCAACAAACATGAAATTTGTGATTCCATAGAAAATTAAAAATCTAAGTTAATTTTACAAATATGCTTGAATTTGAATAAAGTTACGTAAAATTGATTCGGTTTTAATTAATGTTCGAAAGTGTTAAGGGCGGAAAGAAAAAATAAAAAAATATAGAAATTAAAGATTTTTTTCGAAAAAAAATAAAAAAAATCTTGGGAGGCTATGTTTTGGTATTTAGGCATAACTTTTAATTCCAAACAACTTTTCTCTATAACATTTTGCTGAATCTTCTAAAATAGGGTACTTTACAGTACAATTTTGATATTGTTTGAGCTACCCTGTATGCTGTTTGACTTGCAACCATTCTAAGTGCACCTAATATGATTATCAGACATGCACCAACTTTTGGCCTTGTTTGTATTTGGATTGTGCTATTACTAAAAAAAATCCCCATATGTTGCACACTTAAATAATGTAGATTCTGCATTGAAGCATGAATAGCTTGGACATCTTCCAATCTAACTCTTCTCCTGATTGGAATGGAATTGGTATTCTCTCCTTAATAGTCCTTAATGTTCTGGTCAATATGGCATTTCTGTAGATGCTATTTTCGATTTTTTTTCACGGACAAGTTTTGATTTTAAGCGCGAATTTAAATTGATGTCCGAGGCGTTGACTCTCGACTCTAGACTCTAGAATATTTCTTGGACTGAGGACTGACTTTTGTTCTCTTCTACCTTATGGTTTAAATAGTTTTTGGTTCCACCAAGAACTTGCTTTATTTCGATACGTTGACCTAAAATCCTCCCCCGCTATTTCTAAGAAATATAATTATTTGTTCGTAATTTCCTTGATTATCGGGGTCAATGGATGAGGCCATTTGTATAAAAGGATGCTTAACTCGTGTCGGTTTTATATACTTTTCTAATACGAATCTGTCATTTGACCCCCTCTATTTAATTACTTTTAATATCTTTTAATATCTTCTCGTGGATTAATTCATGGACTCATTTTCAGGTTCAGGAATCTCGCGATGTCATAAGACTGGCAATTTTGAACTTTGAAAAAAAAAATCTAAATAATCCATTTCTCGCACTCTTTAGAAAGTTTAATTTAACAGTATTTTCAGTAAATAAAGAAGAAGGTTTTCACAGCCGGTCAAATCTAGCAAAAAAGTTTTTGCCGGGCTATGCTATCGGGTCTTCAAAAAAAAAACCAATCGAAGATTGCTTTGATTACGAAAACGTATGTCGCATTACTGTTTCTTTATTGGTCAGGATTTTTGACATGCGATTTTGACATTAAAGTTCATTGACAAATTAAAGAGAAATATTGCTAAGACATACGTTTGAAAAACCATAGCAATCTTTGATTGGTTTTTTTTTTGAAGACCCGATATAATGCCGTGGTCTAGTAGTATTTTTACCAATCGTTTCGTCTACTGCTGCGGTAGACATCTTCAGAGGCGGTATGGTAGAGGACGAAGTGTTCTCTTCCGTGTTCCTCCGATGACTGGATCCGACGTTGTTGAACCTGCGTTATTTATATCCAGGGTTGTGGGCGTGGCTTGTATTACGCTATTTTCCTTGTCTCGTTCTCGGAAAGGAAAGGTCTTTGTTGAAGACTGGCAACCAGCTTTTGTTGAGGTTCATGTCCTCTTCTTTTCTGTTGAAGTTGTGGTGTTTTTATGGAGTCTGGTGTAGAAATGTTTGGTTCTATCCAATGCTTGAGTCTGGTCGAAACGGTTGAAATGGTTTGTTTGTGTTAACACGTGTTCGGCGATTGCTGATTTATCTATTTGTCCCTGCTGAGAGTTACTTTTGTGCTCTTTCACCCTGGTTTTGATAGAGCGTTTGGTTGTTCCTACATAGACAGATCCGCAGGAGTAAGGAATTCCATAGACGCCAGCCGTTTCAAGAGGTGCCCTAGGATCCTTGGCCGATCGCAGACTTTGCTGAATAATTGTTCTTGTGGGCTTGTAGATGGGCTTAATGTTGTGTTTTTCTAGCGTTCGTCCTATGCGATCTGTGACATTTTTGATGTAGGAAAGAAAAGCTTTTCCTGCCACCTGTTGCCCTGTTGCTTCGGTCTTATAGCTCTATTTATCTCCTGATTGGAGTACCCATTTCCTTCAAGTGCTGATTTTAGGTGTTGCATCTCGTCATGAAGGTATCTGGGTTCACAAATCCGGATTACCCTGACTCCTCTCTTTTGCCTAGGATGGTGATTGGATTCCTTGTTGAGGTATCAGTCCGTATGCGTCGGCGTCGGCTTCCTATACAATGACAAGGCCATCTTCACCTTTATACGTCTTTGTAAAGACTCCAAGTGGCCAAACATTTCTCGAAAAACTATTTTCATTTATTAAAACCAAATATCCTTCTTCTAAATTTTTATCATCTTTGTTCCATTTGGGTCGTATGATTTGATCTGCTAAATATTCTTTCAGCCATCTCTTCTAGAAAATGTCTGTGAGATATTGAGATAATCTCCACTGTTTTTATACATACCACTCATGCTCTGAAAATTATCCTGGTGCAATAACCACTTCGGTGGAATTGGCTTAGTAAGTATATCATCAGGCGTTAAACAAATTTTATCTTCAATATTTTTAGACACGTGAGTTAATGGTCTGCTATTAGTGCTATTCACAATATATTCAAATCCAGTATTCAGTGAATAGTGTCCTTAAAACTTCATCTGTAGGATGTCTATCTTCCATTACAGCAGTCAGAGAACGTTTAAAACAACCAATCATACGTACCCAAGAACCTCCCATGTGAGGTACAATTGGCGAGTTAAATTTCAAATCTATTCCTAAATTAGTCATATTTATGACAACTGTTTCTAGATTCAATTATTCAATTGCTTCCATAAGTTCTCGACTGGCCCCATTATCTGATAAAAATACTTTCACTGTCCCCCTCCGAGCTAGAAATCGTCTAATTACCATTATACAAGAAACTGTATTTAACGAATGAGCAATTTCTACATGGATACAGCGCACTGTGAGGCAGATAAAGAGAACTCCGTAACGTTTTTCCAATCGTCTACCAATTTTTACTTCAAATGGTCCAAAATAATCCACACCAGTTGCAGAAAATGGTTTTTTATATTACATTAGTCGTTCTTTAGGCAGAGGTCCCATTTTTGGTTCAGCGGCTTTTGCATATCGACGTCTACATGTGATGCATTTTTTCAAAATTTTCTTGACTGATGAGCGTATTTTGGGAATGTAAAATTATCTTTTTAAATTAATTATTACTGTTTCAATCCTTTGGTGAGCAACTCTGTCATGAAAATGTAAAACCAACTTCTCAGTATACAGGTGTGAACCATCAAGAATAACTGGATCTTGTGGAAGGAAGATATTTTCGGTACGGTTCAGTTTTGTTATTCTCGTAGATACTCTTAATACCTATGCCATCTTCATCCAAAAATAACGAGAGTTTATTCAGTCCGCCAGTTTTGTTGCCATTTTTTTGATGATATATTTTTTAGGTTCGTCGAAAAGCAGGTGCATTGAACGTTTCTCAGCCCATAGAAAATCTTTTGGTGTAAAAAAATCTTCTTTTGGTTTCTGTTTCCTCACTTTCAAAGTAAATAATTTAGTTGTACAGGTTACCCTCATCAATTTAATCCAAGAATAATATGTTTTAATTTTAGGTAAAGTTTCATTTACACAAGAATGTTGTAATTCTATAACTTCTAAATAAGTTTCTATAGCTATTTCTTCTGGAATTTCTGGTATTATTTTTGGCCAATTTGTTTCTTCATAATATGAAAACTTAGGACCATTAAATCATTTTTCTTATATGTCATTTTTATTTGAACTTCTTGTGCAAATATCTGCTACATTTTCTAAAGTGGCAACCCATTTCCATTTTTTAACTTTTGTTGTTTCTAAAATTTCTGCTACTCTTGAAGCAATAAAAGTCGGTAGTTTTTTTTTCTGTTTCTAGCCATCTTAGGACTGTTCTGGAGTCTGACCAAAAATATTTGTTTTTAATTTCCAAGCCCAGTTGTTCTTCTACAAGTTGAGATAATCTAGCACCCATTACTGCAGCTAAGTAACTCAAATTGGGGAGCTACTCTAGCTTTTGAGAATACAAAAGCAACGTAAACTTCGTTTTCTGATACAATTCGAAGGTAACTTGTTGAAGCGTAAGCTTCTTCGCTAGCATCACAGAAAGAAGGTATGAATTTCGAAATAATTTGCTTTTT